CAGAGGCAGGGGAGACGCAAGGGATGGCTTCTCTCTTCAAGTGTCCAGAGGGGACTGACCCTGGCAGGCCCCTGACTTCAGCCTTCTGCTCTCCAGAACTGCGAGACCATACGTTCCTGCTCTAAGCATCCAGTTGGTGGTAATTTGTCGCGGCAGCCACCAACTGCCATAGCCTTCACTGTGGTACTGCAGGCTCGCAGCGTCTCAGACCCTTCACCGCACAGGCCAGCTGTCCTCAGCAAGGACATCCCCTTCTACAAGGGGACAGCTTGAGACCACTTGACACCAGCTCAACCTGCCAGTGACTGAGCAGGTCTGGTGGGGACCCACGCCTTGGGACCTCTGAGCATCAGGGCCCCAACCTGCCCACTTGAGACCTGGCAGTGTACCCCCCACCCCCAGCCTTGGCCCCTGGTCACTCCTCTGGAATGCTCTGGCCCTGCAGAGGTTTCCTGGCTGTACACAATGCTTCTAAGGCCTTAAAAACCCTCCTGCTTCCATCCCAGGGTTCTCCACTGGAGACCAGGGCAAAGCCTTTAGCACACCGCCTCGTGGCAGGTCCTCGTGGAAGTTTTTATCTGTAGCAATCATCCTTTTTTGGGGGGGGGGGGGGGTAATCCTACAGTAACCCTCTGAAGCGGGCAGTTTAGGTACCACGTTCCCATTATACAGATCCCCAAACTGAGGCTTAAAGAGGTAAAGGGACTAGCTTCCAGGCCCTGGGCTCCCCCTCAGCGAAGGTGGGTCTCCAACTCACACCTTCTGATTCTCCATCCAGACACATTCTGGTCTCCAAGGCTTCCAGTTGCTGGGCCATAAATAGGCACCACACCCTGAGCTCAGCACTGCAAGTCTATTACTTCTCCGTTTTTGCCTCACGTCAGCCTGAGAAGCGGATTCTGTTACCCCATGGTCTAGATGGGACTGAGGCTCCACCCTACTGTCTCCAACACCAGGTCTGGTCCCCTTTCCCATCCACCACCAGCTCCTACTGAGGGATAAAGCCAGCCTGTCTCTGTCCAGGGGGACTTTCTCCTTGCTGGGAGAAATCCCTGCAGGTTCAGGGTTCTGGCCCTGAAGAAGAGAGCAGGGTACAACGGGCACCCAGATTCTCAGTAAAGCCTGCACCTCGCTTCCCACATGGCTCCATGTGTTTGGGGTGGGGGGGGAGGCTGCCCACCCACCACAATGTGTGTGCCTGTGGCTCTCAGCTTGGTGGCAGCCCCTTGGGAGCTGAGGGCAGCTGAGAGGAGCACTGTTCTACGCCTCGACCTTGCACCTACTATGTGTCGTGGCTTCCCACACAGTATTTGAAATATTCCCAACATCCCTGCTTTAATTCTATGGTTTTAGAGAAGGAAGACAGGTTTAGAAAAGGAGCAGTCATTTTACCCAGAGTCACAGGGCTGGGGAGAGGGATTCCCGGACCTGAACCCCAAGGTCCACGCTGAGGACCAAGATCCAGGCCTGCTGGGGAGGTCGCGCCTTTTGAATGAGAGGGGTTAGGGGTGGGGAAGGGCTGGTGAGCAGGAGATGAGTTTCCATCTCACTCTGCCATTGTCTTTGCAGAAGACTCGGTTTCCCCAGGTGTGACAGGTCTGGGTCCCCGTCAAGGCGATCTCATCCCAAATCCCCTCAGCTCCCTGGGGGAGAAGGGTGGAAACCTTCCAGCATCTGAGAACATGTAGCTCGGGACTTCCGGAGTTACGAGGGGAGGCCCAGCACCTGTCCCACTAGGTGACCACTAGGGCTTGAGACTCATCAGCCCCTTTCTCCCTCTCCTGACCTTGGAGTTGGCCATGTCCAGCAGCAAGATGCTCCCCTGCTCTAGCTCCAAGTCCTCACGCCAACACAACTTTGAGCACAGCACTCTACAGTGACCAAGGCTCCAGGACAGTCAAGGGATAAGGAACAGACTCATGTGGCCACAGGTGAGGAGACTGAGGTACATGCAGGGAACTCAAATGACTTGCCCAAGGTCACACAGCTGGTCAGGAGCAGAGGCTGGGGCCGGGCGGCTCATTTTTTGATCTGGTGTCAAACGCCTGGCAGGGACCAAAACAGGCCCCTGCCACTTTTTTGCCTGGGACCACGAGAACTTGGCAAGAACCCAGTGCTTCAGGGAACACGGCGTGACCTTGGGAAAGTCCTTTCATTTGGGTGGGCTTTGCTTGCCCTCTGAAAGATAGAACTTCAGAATGCAGGTGTCTGCTTTGGATTTCTGAGTGAAGCGGTGGCAGAGCGGTCTAGCTGCCGAGGACAGGACGGCAGCTGCTCGTAGAGAGCTCTGCCTACCACCCCAGGACACCCTCTGCACCCCTGCTTAGAGTTTTGCCCTCAAACTCTAAGTTCTCCGTCTACTGGTTCCCAGGATGTTGGAACTGGCCTTATCCCAGAAGGTCTAAGTGGGTAGGCCTGACTTCTACTTCACTTCTGCCACTTTCCTGCTATGTGTGACCTTGAGTGAGTGACTTCATGTGTCTGGACCCAGCTTCCTCGTCTGGGACATGGGGATGACAGCACTGTGGGCGGCCCTCTGGAGGTGGCATGTGCAAATCAATGAGCTCGAAGAATTCTAGCTGGGTTTCTTCCCAGGTCCTCTGACCCCTACCTGTGGCTGGGTGAGGAGGAGGGAGAGGGGACAGTGGGAGAGCAGACGCAGGGGCCAGCACATGGCACCAGCCACAGAGCTTTTTGCCCTTCTGGATCTGGAGAGGACTATGGGGGACGCTGGGGGCATCCCAGGCCCCTGCTCTTAGAGACCCCACACTAGTGGGCCAGTTCCTGGTGCCAGGAAGGGGTCAGCCTGGCTTCTGGTGGTTGGGCCCTGCATGGGCAGCAGCTGCGCCCGCCCCCTCCCTGGTCTCCTTTCCAACTCCAAGCAGCGATCTCTGCAGAACATCAATAACCCGAGATGGCCTTGCTGAGCCCCTCCTCGGCTCCCTGGGAACGTGAGCTGGCCCGCTCTTGAGGCCTGTGTGATCCTGTGGGGGCTACATGGGACCCAGTGTCCCTCTATCCCCATGGACAGTCCCCTAAGGGGCCTCTCCCCAGTGCCCAGCAAGCCACCTGCACTCCTGGAAGCTGAGGGGTGTGTGTATGCACGCAGCATCTGCAGAGGTGCTGCAGCTGTGTGCCCGTGGCCGTCGTGTGGCGTGCACAGCTGACATTCACCTGTGGGCACATTCCAGCATGCGGTGCACCTGCCGGTGCAGGGACAGGCATGCAGATGGCACTTGAAGCTCCACATGTGTGTGCCTGTTGTTTTCACACCTGGGTCAGCCCTCACACCAGCACACTCATTGGTGGCTGCTGCTGCTGCAGGGCTCCATGTGCAGGCTGCTGCATCCTGTGAGGGCTGCAAGCGGGTGTGAGCTGCCCAAGTTCACAGGTGTGTGTGTGTGTGTGTGTGTGTGCTCGTGAGCGTGCAAGTTGCATTTGCGTGTGCTGTGTTCTGCATGCAAGCATGTGGCAGTCAGGGATGTGGGCTGTACTTGCAGGTGCTGGGGTGTATTTGTGAGCGCAGGCATTTCAACTGTGTGGGTGCTATCCTTGTATCTGTGGGTCTGAGTGCATCTGTGGACATGCATGTGTCCTGATGTGAACGCCACTGGGGGTGTGAAGGTGGCTTAGATAATGCGGGCCATCCGCATCTTTCCTGGACCCTCCATCTCCCAGGAGGGCTCCCCAGAGCTGCAGCCCCTTCTTGCCACTGCTCCTTCAAGGAAGTTAGCAGGCGGAGGCCCCACAGCCTGCCTGTGCTCCAAGCCCCCTCCTACTGCTCACGTCAAAGGAGAATTTCTCCGGATGGCGCCCGCTGCTCCTGGAAATGCCCCAAACGTCAGCTCTGCCGCCTCCCAGCAATTTGGAGAACCATGCAGGAGAGAAGGGGAGCCCCTTCCGCACGGAGCAGTGTCACTCCAAGACCCTCTGCCCGCCAGCTCGCCTGCTCACTTATCCTTCTGAAGGTCGAGTCAGGTGGAGCCTCTTCGAGGGGGCCCCCAGGGCTCCCCCAGGGCTCCTGGGACCCTTGTCTGATTGGGGCAGGCCAGCCACAGAGACCCCTCCCATGAAACCTGGGTGAGCAGCGGACAGCTGTGGTGTGGAACAGCCACTTGGCTTAAAGGGGTGGCTGCAGGTAGTAGCCCACCCACTGCAAGTCCTGAACCCCTTGGCTGCATTTCCTGACCCTGCAGGGGGCAGGGAGGAGCCCCAGGTGTCCTAAAGCTCAGCCAGATGCCACAGAGGCTAGCGAGGAACCGGGCTTCCGGGGCCAAAAGTGCCAACTCCACCACCCAGCATGATTGCTGCAAAATGGCCAGGCCACCCCATTCCTACCACCCTGCTGCCAAGGAGGGAACTTGGGGACACGTCCCCAGCACCACATGCACCGGATGGCCTGACCGAGTGACCTGGCAGGCACACAGCAGCCCACCCCAGCAAGGAGACCCTTCAGAGGAGCCTCCGGCTGCCTCTTTCCTGGGTCCCTGGCCAGAGTGGGCAGGGGGCACCCTCCTGCCCTCTTCATCTCCCTGGGACTAGGCTGAGAGAGGAGGACCTTGCTCCCCCGCCACCGCCACCAGCTTGCTAGCCCTTGCATAACATCCTTTGGGGGGCATTTGCAGTCCAGAGGCTGCCGGAATCTACCTGAGACTCCAGGCATCCGCTCCACTCCTCCGAGGCCCTCCTGCTCGGGTCCCCAGCATTCCAGCCCCCCCAACCCCCAACATACAGACCCTCACACTCGTGTCTCCCCCAGCGGCGGCTCCCAAGGCAGCCTCAGCGGCCGCCAGATAAACAAGCCCTGCTCCCCCCCCCCCTCCACACCGCCACCACCACCGCCACCACCATCAGCAGTGACAACAACCAGGAATGAGAAAAAAAAAAATCAAATGAAATGAAACAAAATAAAAATGGGTGCGGGAGGAAGGGGAGAGCGGAGTGGGGCGCTTTTTATTTTTTATTTGCTCATGCCGGGGAGGGGGGATGCCGGTACTTACTTGGCTACGAAAATCACCACCAATCCTGCGCGGCTTCCAGGCGGGCAGCCCCGTAATCGCGGTGCGGCAGCTGGTGCCGCGGCTGAGCCCAGCCGGCGTGCCCGGGTCCCTCTGCAGACTGTACCATCCTGCCCGCGCGGCTGGGGGGGCGGGGGGCGGAGGCGCGGCGCCGGCTCTAGGAGAGCATCGCGCCCGCAGAATGCAATCCCGGGGGAGGGGGAGGCCGCCCTCGGCTGCCGGAGGCTGGGGGAGGGCCGCGGGGCGGGCGGCCGCTGGGGGCGCTGGGGGCGCTGGGGGCGGAGAGTGCGGGGCCTGGGGGCGGGTGTGGACCGAACCACCGCCGTGTTGTTGGCGGTTTGAATTCCTCCCGTGGGAGCCGGAGGAACCAAAGCTGGCAGAGTCCCAGGAATATGCCCGCTCCCCAGGAGCAAGAGGGAATGTCAAGGGCACGGGGAGGGGAGGGGGGGCTGAGCGCGAGGGGAAGGGGTCCCCAGAGTGGTGCGAGGAGAAGTGGGAGCAGAGCGGGGGCGGGGGGACAACCGGTTTGGCTTTAGATAGCCCCCAAGTCATCCTTTACTTTCTGGGGACTCTTAGGTTGGGCAGGGGCTCTGGGTCCCCCCTCTTTGTGGCCGGGATGCCCCCCAGACCTGGGGGCAAAGGTCGCCTGGGGGAGAAGCGGACTGAACACAGCCTAAATCCGTCTGTGGCTGCAGGGCTCCTGGAGCAGAGCCTGCCGCCAGCTCCCTGCGGCCACCTCAGCATTCCCTCTGCAACCGGCCCCCAACTGTGTGCACCCCACCTGCCCTGGGAGGGGGCCAGGACTGGCAGTAGACCCCCTCAAAGGGTCATTCTGTGGCTGCCAGGGGCCCACCAGGAGGGATATACGCATGTGTCTGTACTTCCACGTAATCTGCGTCAAGTTGGGGGCTGGCTGCTCTCTGGGGCTGACCATGCTTGGGGACCCCAGGGATCCCCTAATGAGGAGTCTGAAAGAATGGAACCCCCAGCCAGCTACCCACTTCTTCCTGTCTGGTCTCTGGTACGTCTCTGCCCCTTTAATTCTGGGCAGGTGGGATCACTATCCTAGGAGCAAGTTGGGAGGTTAGGGTGAGAGAGGGGTCTCTCCATGGTTCTGAACCCCCCCTCCATTGCCCTGTCCCCCTTTCCCAGGGGTGCTGTGCTGGAGGGAGGGCACAGAAGGTGGGAGAACCTTCAGGATGAGTGTCTTGTGGCACCTGTCAGTGTGGAGGGGGTGCACGGGGAAGGGGCAGGGTGGGGGCTGCCCCAGGAGCCAGTCCCAGGCTGAGGCAGCTCCTTCTCCTGCTCCCATCCTTTGCCCACCTCTGAGCTGCCCGCCCAAGCGTCCCGCGCTGCCGCTCCATCCCTGGGCTGGCACAGAATATCAATTTGTCTCGTTAAGCTGAAAGTCTGCACTGCACCAAAATCAGAACCCGGCCGTGTGCGGAGGGGCCGCGGGAGGGAGGGCGCCAGGAGCGCCCATGCAGGGCCCACCAGCAGGACCTGCCGACAGCCCATTTCTGCTCAGCCCCCCAGCCCCACCCAAGGGTCCCATCTGCCCCTGGCAGTGGCTTCAGTGTACACAGGATGCTGAGAAGCTAGGGATGCTGAGCCCTGGGTTGTCGGTCAAGGTTCTGGGCAGGGCTGTGGTCACAAACCAGGGAGGGTCTCCTGCTGGGGTTCCCCCAGAACAGCCCAGGACCCCCATCAGAGAGACCCCTGCCCCCACACCAACAGCCAGGGCCTGGTGGTTTCCAGAGCAGCCTCATCCTGGGTGTAGGAGGGAGAATTCTACCCTTTCGCAGGGGCAGATGGGGGGATCTGAATAGCAAACCTTCCGCGTGGACTTCCAAGTTGGCTCCATCCCTGATCAGCGCCCCCCCCCCAGGCCAGGGCCAGGCCAGGTGCCACCCACTCCCCAGGCCTGCAGACAGTGCTACTTCCCACGGTGGGACCAAGGAAGGGTGCTCTGGGATGGCTGGGGTGAGCATGGGCAAAGGGCAGGGGGTGAAAGGCCCTGCGGCTCACATCTGGCCAAGCAAACATGCCTATGCCAGGAATGGCACCATTATTAGTGCACCATCTTTGCCAACTGTGTTCTCTAAGTACAAAACAAATAGCCCCAGAAGTATCCCATTATGAGCCACCACCCTTCATCAATACGACCCCTCTGTGCCCAGCACCCTTGACAGTTTGTCAAGACCACCTGCAAAACAGTAAACCATTTCATTCTTACAAGTACTGTGGCCACCCAGATGAGCAGGCCCTGTGTGGCTCAGAAGAGTGTGGTGGCGAGGGTGAGTCTGCACAGCCAGTGAGGGGTAGACTACATGTGTGACCGAGGTGGTTTCCAGCCCAGGGTTCCCTATGTGGGAAAGCCAGCTGGGTGAGGGCTGGCTAGGAACTCCGTATTTATCCACTTGGAAGACTGTCCTGTCTGCCCAGTGGGCTGGGCCTCACCAATAAGGTACCAATAGCCAAGCTCTGAGGCCCTAGCACTGGCCCCAGGCCAAGATCCCATCTCCTTGGCATTCTAGGCCCTGTGTTCTTCCAAATCCACGTCCATACTTCAGTAATGCACGCTACCTATCTGCAGAAGCAGCCCAAGTGTTGAGTTGCATAGTGTTTCCTGTAATATACATACTCTGCCTCTAGGCCCATGAACTCCTATTCATCCTTCAAAGTCCAACTCAAATACCCCTTTGCTGAATAGTCCTTCCTGATTCCACAAACTGAGTGGGCTCCTGCCTCTGTCCTAGCTCTGACCAGGATGGCCTGTCTCTCTCAGCTATGACTACATTGGATGTCTCCAGGGTCTCAGGTGCTACCTCCCAGCAAGTGGTAGGTACCATAGTCAAGGCTTGAAGAGTTTGCTGCTATGTGATTTTGAGTCACCAAGTGCCAGACCCAGAAGGACCCTGAAGCATGCATACTCAATCCTCCCATCTTACAGGTGAACAAACAGAGGCCTCAAGAAAAAGCTGTAAGGTATTGGCCTAAAGTCATTCTGAAGGCGGGACTGGCCACAGGCACCCATCTGCTGTCCCTGCCCTGCCTCTTCCTGCAGCACTCATATGTGGGTCATCTGACCTGTCCTTCCAGGATATGTTGGGGGACGGGGCGGGCAGAGGTGTTGGGAAATCAGACAAACAATGGCGCTAGTGTTGCAACTCTGGGAAGGTTGGAAACGACAGGTCAGGGTCATTCACGGGGAAGAGGGAGGAAGAGGCAGGGGCCAGCCAGAGGGTCACTGACAGTTCTGTCTCCAGTCTGATTTGGCTCAGGGTGGACACACTGAGGGTCAGGCCTGGGGAAAGGTACGGGAAGTTGGGGAAAGGGGGAGGGCGCCAGTCTCATTTGGTTTTTGGACAGTATTTAGTTGGCCAGATCCTGTTTTGTCCCCTCGGGAGAGATCTCGGGGCTGGGGCACAGGGCCAGGGTGGGGAGCTGGGGCCAGTCTGTTGGGGCACCTCTGCCCAGGAGAGATGGACGAGGTAGGTACGGACAGGTCTGAGGGAGGAGGATGGGACGCAGGCAGAGGCCGGCAGCGTCACTCTATGAGACACGGGCTCTGGGTTTCCTGGCTTCTTACAGGAAGCACAGGGAGGGGACTCACCCACACTTGAATTTTTTTTTCTTGGCTCTGGGTCTTGAGACATGTGGGCAGGGGGCCTTGGCCGCTCTTGGGTGGGGTTGGCAGCTGCCACAAAGAGTGGCTAGGTGGCCCCTCAGGGGCAAAGTCCTTTCCTAGGGCCCTTCACCTCTCTCTTCTGACCTCCTCGGATCACCCTCGGATCACCCTCAGGTCTGTGGGCATTTCCCTGTTTTACAGAAGAGGAAATGGAGACCTGGCGACCTCAAGGATTTGCTTCAGAGTTCCAGAGCCAGTGAGGGCCAGAGCTGGGAGAGATCACATCTGCCCCGTGCAAGCCCCAGGCCCTTCCCTCTGCTCCTGCCTGAAGTGACCCAAGTCTGAGGCAACCATTCATGATCTCCTAGATCCGTGACCTTGAGGAGCTGTGGCCACACGCTACAGGAGACCGATGGCCTAGCTTGTCCCAAGTCTCCCCTCCAGCTGAACTACCTACTCCTAGGCCTGCCAAGGCCCCAAATTCCCTTAGCCAACCAGGTCTGGGGTGGGGACTTGTGGCCTCTAGGCCTGGGTTCAACTCCTAATCCCTGTTTCATGATGTGTGACTTTGGGCAAATGACTTGATGTCCGAGTCCCAATTTTCTCATTTGCAAAATGGGCACCACACTGCCTATTTGTAAATTAAAGGAAAATGGCAGCTGGCGTTAGTAGAAGAGCATGGGTGGGGCTCCCCAGAAGGCCTCTGGGAAAATGCTCTGTATATGATGGTTCTTGGTTACCACCAGGCCCCCAAATGTCCCCTCCTGCTATTGGTTCTTGTTCCCTCAGTGAGGAGGTGCAGGCCTGGCTTCTGGTGAACTCCAGACAGCCACCATTCAGGTCAATCTGTTCAGGTCAACAGGGCCTTCTGCACGGTGCCCAGTGTGTGGCCTTCACACAACCCTGAGAGGTAGGTCCTCCTTTATCCCCATTTTACAGATTAGAAAACTGAGGCACAGCAAGGTAGCTGTGGGCATGTCTCCGGGGCCACACAGGTCAGAAAGCAGCCCCGGGAGAGCCCACTCCAGCCTCCCACCTGGGCAGGGCAGGTGTGTGGTGATGGTTGCCTCTGCCTCCCTTTTGGGAGGCCAGAGGCCAAAGTCAAGGGTTTGAGTTCACACAGCTGCTGCAAATGGAGCCTGTGAGGCCAAGAAGAGAGCTGAGCACTTTCCCTCCTGGGAGGACAGACAGTCTGGGGATCAGGAGCATCTGGGAGGCTGCCTCTTCCAGTCTCATCCTGCCACCCCTGCAGGCTAATGCCACCCTGACACATCTCACACCTCCTGACACCGCCCATTCCCATCCAGCCACCCTGCCTCCTCTGCTCTCCTGCTACTGACCCACCCCCTGCAGCTTTAGCCGGGCTCTAAATCCCCTTAAACCCTTTTTTTGGCCGCCCTGTGTCATCTACCAGCGTAAGTCCCAAATGCCTCATGACTGTCTCAGACCTGTCCCTCTCCCCTCTGCCCCACA